ATTATTTATCTGTAGGTATAAATCAAGCAAGAAAGGGAAAGGTATAGGGAGTGCTGAAGAGAAGATGAAAAACAGGGGGAGAGATATATAAACAAGAAATTAAGCATGTTTATCGAACTCCAGATGACATTTTACAACACTTTGAAATACCCAACGTTTGTTGACCACCATGTGTCAGCAAAATGGTGTACTCTGACGAAAGAAAAACATGCTTTCAATTCATTCCTGTTAAAATCATGCTGACTTTAATTAACAAAAATTGCATGTGGCCACAGTGGAGGTCAAAATTATTATTTAAAAAATAGAAAAAAGTTCAGGCCACATTTTTGTCACAACGTGGGTCGAAGGAGCACCTGGTGTCAATTATAAAAAAGTGCAAAATCTTGGCCTCGGAAGTAATATAGCCCTACTGTATCGGTGTTATATCCCATTCCCCCATAAAGGATAAGAAATGAGAAATATTGATGCAGATATGGGGTGGGGAACTTGCACCTCCCTACAAATTAAGTTGCTCAAAGTGAAAAGAAAACTTATTTGAAGAAAGGTTTGCTTTCATCTGTCCCATGCTGTGTGATAAATATGAATTTCACATTTTTAAATGTTTTTATTAAGAATACAGACCAAAATACTCCCCAAATTGTCTAATCCGGGGAAAGGATTTTTTTATACCCTTCTGAAAAAGTTCACCAGGATGGTTCAAATTTTTGGGAATAAGTGCTGTGACTCATCCAGAGCTGACAACCTCATAAAAAATATGATAATCGACTATCTACCTGACTCCACTCTTTGTAGATTATGTTACCATACCAATCTTACAAATTAAATATTCCATGCACATTATAAAGTCAATGCCACTTTAGCTTTGAGAAAACAAGAGGAGCAGTATATGCATGCCTTTAATGGATAAGCTAGGCTCCATTAAAAATCACTAGATACATGTAAGATAGACAAGTATTACTTTTCTTCATCGTCATTGTAGCAGCTTACTTTTATCAATGACGGATAGCCTGTAGTATAATCACTATGAAAGGAACTCTGAAATGTCAGAAGGCCCGTTTTCATCAGCTTGAGTTTGACAAATAACCCACTATTTTCAGCTCGAAATTGCGTTTTCACCAAACTGATACGCTCATCACAAACTAGGTCGGACCGGCGCTAATTAGCCCTCTATTTCCCAAATTGCAGGATATTTGGAAACAATAGACCAAGATTTCTTAGGATATTTTCTCGACCAAATATCCCACTAATTGCAACAGCGGGCTGATAAAGATGCAATTTAACTGGCTAATTTGCAATAGGATAGTTAAAATAGCAGGTTATTTGGCAAACTCGAGCCGATGCGGACAGGCCTAGATAGCCTGTAGTATGATCATCATGAAAGGAACTCTGAAATGTCAGGGGGACCTTTTAGCGATGTCCATGAACAGATTGCCCCCATAAGGAGGAGCAATCAAGGTGTCATCCTTAATTGCTACATGAACGGTCCCCTTGCACTGGTTACCAATTACTCAACCCTTCAGGGTAATGGACTGTAAAATCATATACAACAGTGATTAATAATCTGATGGACCGACCGTATAGCCCATTAGGTGCTGGACTTTTAAGCAGTTACTGTATGTGGTGTTCTGTGTTATATAGTGTTCAATATCTGACCTCTTTAAATAATTTTAAACAATTTTTCAATAAGTTCTTTAAAATTTAATCAAATGCCAAATAGATTAAAGAATAGTAATTTTACCAAAGTGTTATGTGACTTTACTTATTTTTATTGGTTATATAGATTTGTGCAGCTCTGAATTTTTATAGGGTCAGTCACAAAAATCAATTTGAATTATGTTCTAAATCTCAATTTTCATGAATAAATATTAAAAATTCACTACAGTTTAAGTATGCATTTTGTAGAGAGAGACTATGATTATTTTGTTTTGTGTTTGAAGACAGTTACTGGAAACCAAATGAATGCAGCTATGAGTAAAATGTGATTATTTGTTCAAATCTCACTGACGGTTATGGAGAAAAATACTTGTAGGCCTATTTGCTCATTGTTGTTTTAGAGTAACAAATTGCAAAAGAAATGAACATTAGACCATGGACAAGCATGAACTTATTTGAAGCAACCTACATCTTCATCGTCATGTACATGTCTCCCATCTATTCTTTTTACATCATCTCACTTTGCTCTCTGATGGAAATAAAAGCATGTGAGATCAGGCAGACTGAACAAACAAGAAAGTCTGCCGAGGGAAAAGAATAGATTAAGCTTGTATATCCCTCAATCGCCATGTTGCCAGTGTATTGATCCGCAGGCATGATGTGTCAATAGTTACACGGTATAAGATGGATCATTATTATTCCCCCGGGGGATTCCGCGGATCAGATTTGCAATTTTCATATTTGAGATGGGAAAGTCTTGCAATGCATTGTAAATGCTAGTCCTTTTATCTTTTATATGTAAATGGCTTGCCTTTGTGAATCTGGTGTACATGAAGATAATAAGGTTCACTGTCTTCACGTTCACTGTCTATCATACAAGATAGATAGAGATTAAACAGGAGATATTGACAATTTCCACAATCACATTTTCCAGGTCAATTTTTGGTCATTCTTTATGAATGAATATTCCAGTGATATGTATTTTATGACATATCATCTTCAATTTATCTCAAACAAAATACTTTGGACTATTTCAACCAGCACAAACGTAGAATGAGAGATTCAGCATGCCTTTACTTAGGAATATTTTGTTTACGATTTCAGATAATATTAAAGTATGAAAAGATATCAAATGCTTAGAATATGGTGAATGGGGCATCAGCATCCAATTCCATTTGAAATAATGATTCAAAATGCATGGAATTCATAGGAAACTCTGAGTGTAATTAATTTGGTGTGTAATTAATTAGATGTGTGTAATTTTTTGATGTGTGTAATTTATTTGATGTGTGTGATTAATTGTTGACTATCAATTTAATGGAAATGATTAAAAACTTGTACCAGCATGTAAAAGAAACGATGCAATCATGAAGTACAAATACAAAGCCAATGCCTTTTTGGCTATGAACAAAAAGATTGTAGTACACATCGTAATCATTATCATTATGGGAACATTGCGCTTCAATCGGCTATCAGTACCTGCACACCATGTAATTATTCCCTAGGAAGAGATTTTAGAGACTGGATATCATAATTCATATATTCTCTTTGCTTTCTGAATAGGGATGATACGAGCATTGAATGGATAGGCGTCGAGCATTATGCATGCATCGGTACCAGACATTGTATTGATGAAATAAGAATGAATATTACTTACCGAAGACAAGCATAGCTGGGGACTATTTGTGTTTTAAATCTGTTTATTACATGAATCAATAATTCATTAACTCGATGAATGAATAATGAACAGCGTGGGTGTTATTGGGTAACACATGCTAATTTTCTCTCTGTTAATTCATCCATCTATCTAACCGTCCACCTAGCCATTCCTGCTCCAGCAGTCCTATCTGCCTATCCAGCCATCCATCTATCAATCTTTTTGATCATTTATATAGCAATAGATAAATCAATAATCAATTCAAATTCATTCAATCAGACAATTAATCAGACAATCAATCAATTACTCATTAATTTTGCATTCAGTTATTCAACCAACCAAACCACTGATCTATACATTTTATAATTTCATTGATTAATTAATACCGCAATTCACTTAATGCAGCCTTGATCTATCAATTCATTCCACATGTCACTCATTTTATCCATGTGTTTGTGTTTAATTAGATTTCTAGCTATTTCCACAAGAAGATGTTAATTATTTTTCTCTCTAAGGTTTGGTTTCTTTATTTAAGAGAGTTATTGTTCTTTTGTGTGCATTGCTCGTTACATTTCAATGAAATAGTTAGTGTAACCTTGCTCAAAGTTGTACGTACATTATGTCTACTTTCTACCTAAGATGTGAAGTCATTTCATTTCTAAGGTCAAAGGTTATGATGACTGTCAACTTTGCGTCAACGTTTTCAATACATACATGTGCTATAATATTCTTTTTTCTAAAATCTGTCAAATCTATCATTAATACACAGTGCAAAACCAGAACCTTTTAATGACATAAGACAGGTAGACTTTTGCAAAGTACAAAAACTCTATATTTCAATTATTTAGCAGCATTGAAACTTTAGCCCAGTATTATCATATTAGCATATAATTACCATATAATTTAAAGGGAATGAACAAAAAGGCAGCCTAGAATATAGTTATTTAATCAGGTCAGGAAACCAAAATGACCTACCTTTAATATTGAAAGTTGTAATAATTTTCTATTTCACATCTGGAAGCCATTAGTCTCTCATTTAGTTGACCTTACTAAGTCAATTCTTTTAGTCTGGAAATAGAGTTCACATGTATTTACAGTAGGTTCTTATGTTTTTGTTAAACAATATAAAGAGTGGAAAGCCTTACGTACAAGAACTTGAAAAGAGTGCCTTATTGTGGAATCAAGGAGATTTATGGAAGGTGTTTGGTTTATTTATACCTGAGCTATACCATTAAACTTACTGAAAGAATACCATTTGATTTATTTATAATATTTTTCTTACCTTTTCCATCCATGCAGGCAAAAGAAAGATAAGGTTAAAAATGAATATGAATAATGACCATTTCCTGTATTCTTCTTACCGGTATTCATTTCATTTGTAAAAGCAAGAGAAGTATTAAACAGCCTGCAATGATTGTATGTTTCCCATCTACATGTATTCCATGCACAGATCAGAGAGTGGCTATGAGAATATGAATTATTATGTGTTTTTTTCCCTCATTCATTCTATTCAAACAAAGAGAAACTGAGGAGAGACGGGCAGACAGACAGAGACATGAGAGAGAGAGAGTGAGAGAGAGAGAGAGAGATGGAGATATATATAGAGAGAGATGAGAGTTGCTGTGACAACACAGAGTCTTACAGGTTATTATAATTTGTCTTCTGTTTCTCATTTATTCTACTCACACAGGCAAGAGAGATGAGGATATAGAGACCGATATCAATCAGAACCAGAGGATGAAGGATAGGATGGCAGAACCAGACATCTTTGGTGTCCAACTAGAGGTAAAGAAAGGAGATATAGCGAGAAGGGGTGAGAGAGAGGGATGGAGGGAGAGAGAGGAGAGAGGGAGGTAGAGAGGGAGGGAGGGAGAAAGGGGGAGGGGAGGGAGAAATGGGGGAGAGGGAGGGAGGGAGATGGGGAGGCACAGAGAGGGACACAGAGAGAGAGAGAGGGGAGATAGAAGGTAGATTAAGGATAGGGGAGAGATGGAGAGAGAAAGAGAGAGAGAGAGAGAGAGAGAAGGGGGGGGGGGGCGGATAAGATGCATGCAGAACCAGACATCTTTGGAGTCCACCTAGAGGTAAAAAAAGAGATTGTTTTTTCATCATTGCAAAATGTAGGCTGACTGTTAAAAGACCATTACTGCCATTGGCAATTCATAGCTCTTATGGCCTTTTGGTAGCTGAAAAGACAGCTTTGCAAAATTTTGAAAAAATGAAGTAAAGACTTGCCTCCTGTTCCTCTCTTGTGTAGATTTAAACATATCCCAAGAAGGAAAATACATGTAAACTAGAAATGCAATCGTGTCACAACGATGTGCGTGCAATGACGCCATGTTTCTACGTGTCAAACGAATGAGCTTCTCTCGGACTATCCAGAGCAATTTGTACGAAGTCTATAGCTTCTGTGATATTCGAGATAGGTAGGGCGAAAGAAAGGCCTCAACAGTGACCTTGATGGGATGGTAGTGACTATGCCTACGAAGTTTGAAAGAAATTGGGATAGGGGAAAGAACGTAGAAAGGGCTCGCAAGCACTGCGTGCAAAAACCATTGGGATTTGGTGCATGTTCCTCATTGCAATATAGATCGTTCTGGGGGCCAACAGCGTGAACCCGATATGCCCCATAGACAATCCGTGTAATGCATGGGCGGAAAACGTACAGGATCTGTATTACGACCGGAGTTAAATTGTTTTTTCTCTCTCTCTTTATGTCTCTTTATAGGCCGTATTTGGTATCATTAGAAAGAAAATTTCATGGTTGTTATTGTAAATCACCCTCTTTTTTTCTATGATAATCCTTTCGAAACACGTGATGTAAAATAGATTTATAGTACAAAATGGCGTCTTTAATGGCCCCCTTGACCAATTTCAAAAATTCGGCCACGAGGTGCCCTGCGTACTGCAACTCTAAATGTCACTGCAAAATTTCAAGGAAAAAAAAGGATGTTTAGGGGGCGAAAAAAAGTCTGAGAAATGACGTCTTAGCCGATACGTGTTATAATATTGGGCGGAAACTCGGCGGAAATCGTATAGTGACCCTTATTCAAATGTGATTTACTCAACATTTTCTGTGTGAACATATACCATACTTGATATCATTCGAAAGGGCACTTCATTGCGGTCAATTTCACACCATTGTCATCTGCGCGCAATGTACTGCACGCATTATAGGCGCTATTACGTAATGCATAGCAAATTCATCATTTTTGACGATAACTTTGCGCTGACATATTCGAATTTTACTAAACTTGGCAGACAGTTGTCACGTATATGGATACATATGTCTGCCAAGTTTCATTGATGTAGGTATAAAGATCGCCAATTTAGAGCAATTTGAAGTTATTTCTCAATTTTCTTCAAAATGGCGAATTTGGAGGGCATTTTTCGCAATGTCGGTCAGTGTTAGGGTATATAATTTTGTATATTGCTGGAAAGGGCATATCTTCAAGTATCTAAATCCAAAAAAGGGTACGGGTCTGCCAAGCCATAATGGAGATACGGCCACAGAAAGAAATCCCATTCCCAGAACTTTAGAGGGCGCTATTTATGTTTTGCATAGCCATTGGAGCGTGAAATTTGGCATGGCTATGTGCAATTATGAGATAAGGATACTGTGAGATTCAAATACAAAACGGAATTTATATGAGAAAGTTATGGTAGTTTTAGATTATTTAGAGGTCCATTTTTCAAGAATTTGAGAGATTTTTGACGGAGTCGGTTTCTAATGTGAATTTTGAGTACGAAGATGGCATTTTGAAGGTCAAGTGATACATCGCAGATAAAAGAACATCTCTTAGACTATCTAGAGAAATTTGTTAGAAGTTTGTAGGATCTAGGATAGTGGAGATAGGAAGGAAGATAGAAAGGCCTTAAAATGGAGCAGAAAAGGACAAAATGGCGCCTGGACGTTTACGCATGATTGATTTCAGAAAACGAAAAAGTAGGTGACCTGGACGAGATGCTAGAGATGGTGCCTACGAAATTTGAAAGGAAATGGATATGATGAAGGCACCTAACTAGGAATAACAAGCACTACGTGCAAAACGAATGTGATTTCCGGACGATAAGGAAAACAAGGAGGAGAATATTAATGGGGCAGAATGTGAACGAAAACAAGGCAATGACGAAGGTCGTCATTGCAAATACATGCCTCCTGTGCACCCAATATCCATAGCATTTAACATTTTGAAGGTTTCAGTAACTCTTTTTGTCAATTTCTTGGTCTGCTACTGCTACGTGTAAATCTATGTTAAGTTTGAATTTTTTTAATATTCTGAACTCAAATCAATCATAACATGCTTAAAAAGGAAAGTTTCATGCAATTTGCAGCAGATTTTATACCATATTTCTAGTGTATTAGCCAAGTCGATGTGTTAAGCAAACTAATGACAAGGTGTGGATTTCTGTTTAATAAAAAAAAAATCACCAGGCCATAAATCAGTTGTATCCACTTCATTATATTAAAACACCAAATTTATCTGTCATCAGTTCAACTTCTCTCCAAAAATCTTGAGAATAGATACGGGTCTTCTCTTCTGTCTGTTTTAAGAAGGTTAGTACAATGTGTCACAAAAATAGAACCATTCTGTTATCATTATTATTAGGACTGATGCTATCTGTTCTGTCATCGCTTACTAGCGCTTCCTTGCGTTTCCTCAGGAATCGATGAACATGATTTATTTGATCTGGAGATTATACAGTGTGTCACAAAAAAGGACAATTTTTTGGTCATTATTCATAGCAGTGATGCTGACTAAATTATCATCATGGCCTTCATCAGAAGTTGTTGACCTTGATTTGTATGGCTTGAGTTAGGACCTCAAGGATGCTGAGATAGTTTGCTATCTTTTTATGACTGGACTGTAGTATGACTTATCACACTAGAGCAATGAACTTTTTCTCCCAAGTGCAGAGGATATTATTGTTATTAGCAACAGGAAATCTTCAGATTTCAAAAAAATTCTGACTTTCCTACTCCACGTATACTTCAAAACTAAATTCAATTTTAGGAGTATCTACCATGAGGATAGTGTTTAATTTAACTACAAGTTGATGACATCATACTCAAAGCTGACTTGATCAATTAAATGTCCCTTTGTAAAAAAAAAGGACCTGTTCATCTGTGAAAGCAAGCTATTGCTACTTTTTTCTATCAAATTCAGATGCTATAGAGAATATTGGGTTCTCATTGTTAAAGTATACAAACTAATGCCCTTTTGGTTAAATAATAGACAATTTGGTCTATTGTAAACAATACTATGACAGAACATCATTGCATACAATTAGAAAACAGAGGTCCTTTACTTGTATATATTCATATTCAAAAAATATTATCATCATTGAATATAGTTTTTAGGTCAATTGAATTTATGGAAATCATCAAAAATGCCAGCGAAATTGCCAAAAAAAAATCATGGGATTGATTGATAAACCCGCTATTTCCAGGAAATTACATCATTTTTCTTTGCTATCAATGTCTGTGATGTCAGCAGAGAAGCTTTGAGTAAAGGTCATGAACTATTCATAGAGAGATGGTCATTTAGCTTACCTAATATACAGGAAACCTCATTAGGAAGAGACTCATTGAGTATGTGTGAGTTGAAGCTCATTTATTCAATTTAAGAATATACACATCATCCCTATTTTCACGAAGTGACGGTAATGAGGAAAATCGCATACAATTTGCGTGACAATTTTCCTCACTACCATCACTTCATGAAAATAGGGACGACATGTCTTTCAGCTGTTCTAGTCACTTTTATCCAACTGTTAAAAGTATCAAAACAAATATTTCAATGTTGATTTTCAAGTTTAGCATTTTCACGTTCGATAAAAATGACGGTAAAAGTGAAAATAATTTATACAGAAATTCAGCAATAGTAAAAGATAAACTACAAAATTGCAATAGAAAGACAATAAACAATTTCAAGACAACTATTGACAGTTTACAGACACACACCCGCCAAAAATATATATTCATACAAATCCATAATTGCCAGAATTACTCTTTTTCTTTGAGAATATGCTGTCCACCTTTCGGATGGGCTGAGATTATTCATTATTTAAAGCCTATCTGCACTAGTTTTGCACCAGGAGGGATTATACCTCCCTGTATGGTCACTGACAGGTGGTTATCTCATCAAATAGCTCTCAATTAAAATAAGAAAAAGGGGATCATGGGGGACCAACGGTACCGCTACAAGTAGTGCAGTCCTGCTTGAAGAAGAAAGAGAATCAGAATAAGTAACGAGCATCTTCCTCTTCTCTGATTTAAATGTCATTTTGGTTAGATTAGCGTACCAAGTTTACAGGGGTAGATTTCAATCTTTCATGACCAACATGTAGCAGCCATGCTCAATCTATGATCAGCAGCAATTAGACTGTGGTTTGTGGAAAATACTGATATATGACCCATTCACATTGAAGAGATTGACATTTGAAATAACGTTTCAACAGAGTGTGGAGAAACTAAAATGATCAGGATGAAATTTCATTTTTGATTGTAGCACAGGTAATAATAATAATATTCCACATTTATAAAGCGCTTGATATACGTGAAAAATGTCCATAAGTACTTTACAGATACTTGTATAATACAGATATATAGGTAGTATTGATTTAAGGTGTGTTTACATGAGTTTTGTATCATTAACTAGTAATAAAGGATGATTTTATTGAAACAGAAGTTGTCTGTACACTGAAAAGTTGCTCTGCAAAGCATAATTTCCTGGGACTTCTATCTTGTAATAATTTTCTACTTGAAATCCAAACTTTTAAGGATTTTCAATTGAGTTACTATTTTCTGCACCCCATGACCCTTCATTTGTTGCTGTATCAGATAAATCTCAGACAAACCTTAATGTTTTTAAAGAAGATCTGTGTGTGTAAAATATACAGTAACTTTGGATCCATCACAAATAGGCATATTGATATTATATCCAATTTAATTTTAGCATAGCAGCATGTTATTTTTAAACCTCAATTTTAAGTGGCCTTTAACCGTACATAAAATTAATTTGATTTAATTTTCGGGTATGAATGAGGCATGATCATGAGGCCATTGACCACTGGTTTGTGTGATATGAAGCATTTAATGAGACAATAGACTTGGTGGTAGAATCCCCTTCAATTGTCAATTTTGGTGTGAACTAATCGATTCCTGCACCTGAAATTTCATTCATTGGAAATCCTCATTAATTTTAAAATGTAAACTTTACCCTACTTTATCCAGTGTGAACAGGGTACATTAAGGCTGCTGACCGCTATTGCGTTTGACAGGAAGCCTTCTCATTTGTTGATTTAAATAAAACAATCGACTTGATGATAGATGGAAGTTATATGGTGTGAATTGATCAATTCCTTCAGTTGTATTGTAATATGCCAAAACCTTTTGCAAATGTACAGATAAGAAATTCTGGTAGTTTTAATAGAAAATCACAGTTAAAGAAAGATTAAAAGGAAAGCAAATGTTAATGAGACACATATATTGGTAAAAGTATAGAGAATATGTAAACAGGACTTATATATGCTTATATTGAATAAGAAGAGTCAGTTTATGTTAAGCTGATTCTTGTTTTAAGCCATAACTACAGTATTATAGTTTACTGCTGGTTAATCTGTAACAGTAATATTGAGGTTTATTAAGAGAGAAAATGTGAGGAAAGACCAGGAAATTATATGTGGTGTATCATTGCATAGCATTCGCTTATATATTCATTGTTTGTCCCTAGTGTACCTTTGTCTGTATAGGGGGACAGATGTTCAGGGAGACTCATGACTGTAATCATTAGTACATTGACACATTTATGGAGAACAGAACATAATTAGACATATTGTATGAAATAAGAGAGAGCGAGAGGGAGGGGGGAGGGGGAGCGAGGGGTGGAAGAGATGGAGGGAGGGAGGGAGGGAGGGAGGGAGGGAGGGAGGGAGGGAGGGAGGGAGGGAGGGAGGGAGGGAGGAGGGAGGGAGGGAGGGAGGGAGGGAGGGAGGAGGGAGGGAGGGAGGGAGGGAGGGAGGGAGGGAGGGAGAGAGAGAGAGAGAGAGAGAGAGAAAGAGAGGGAGAGAGAGAGAGAAAGAGAGAGAGAGAGAAAAAGAAAGTCATTTTCATGCCTCACAACTCTCTTGATACTAAAATTTAAAAAGTGTCTGGTATCAAAAAAGGTATCAGCAATTTTTATGAAAGTTTTATCTTCATAATAAGAGGATACACTGTTTGAACCTAATTGAGTATGACATCAAACTTTTTTTTTATCTGCTTTTGGACATTCAATGTCTTTATTTCAGAAATCAGATAATTTTAGAATTTTGAATACGATGAGATTTAGAAGGACTAAAACTAACAGTGGTGCAATGGCAAATGAAGATGTGGAAAGGCTTTCACTTGAAATAATCAGCGGTTAAATTTGTAAATATCACTAGGAAAAAAACCCATAAAAGTAGTATAAATGATAAAATATTTTCCCAATATATTTTTCTTTATCTAGGTGACCAGTCGTCTTTTAGATGCTGAGAAGAGGAGGCTGCAGGTCCTATCAAAGGAGCTGAGATCCAAACAACCTGATGTGGTCCAAGAAAATCAAGATGCTCGGAAGGTGAGTTCTACTTTTCCAGGCATTGTAAAAAAAAATTGAGTATCTACAAATATAAAAGGTTGAGGCAAAATGCATTTGAAGAGGATGATCTGACATAAATGTATATGCTCCAGGAATTTATTCTAGCTTTATTTAGTCAAAGATGTATAGGGTTAAGTTTGCAATCAAGATTAGATTGAGGTTAGGTTTAGGTTTAGGATTAGGTATAGTGTTTGGCCCAGGGTTGAAGTTGAGAACTCCATTAGGATATTGAGTGTGGAGCAATTGAAGCCTAATCAATATGTCCAACACCTTAAAGACTCAAGCTACATGCTTAGTATTTAGCTTGTCAATAGTTCGGTTGTATTCTTCTGTACACACAAGTGTACTACAAATATTAGACTGTCATTTTTCATGACTGGATCTTTTGGGTAAATATCAAGTCAAGAACCTGAACATTGACAGAGAGAGAGAAGGCACTCTTCGTGCAATATCAATCACCATGGTATGATTAGTTTTTTCTTCTTTAAAAAAAAAAATGGACTTCATATAATAACAAAAACAAGCAAACACTTGGAAGAAAAACAAAAGACAAACAAATAACATACAAACAAATTCACACAAACGGACAACAGAATAATCAATATATAATATTGTTGTACCTGTAATCATAATTTCTTAATTTTGATCTGCTTTCTAAAAAGAAGTAAAGAAACTGTATTTATAGGGCAATCCGTCATTTCACTCAATCTAGACAATCTACTACATGGTCATTCCCGATTACTCATTGTGATAGACTCTATTTAAGTCAGGTGCTGTAATTAGTTATCCATCACCAATTACCCATTAGCTGCATATAGATATTTCAACCAATGAGCTTCTAATTTCAATGTCACATGATTAATTGGTGACGACATGCACAAGAAACACAGTTTAAAACGTGCTTTATCTCCTGAAAGAAAATGATATGTCACTTAAGACCTTTTTTATGAAGGGATAATTTGAGGTGTAATTGTATGCAAATGAAAAGCTCCAATTGTAAATATTTATTGAGAAAATCAAATGGAATTAAAAGGAGCTTATTCATATAGTTAGTTGCACTTACCGTTAGTTATTAATCATTTGTAGAATAAACACAAGAGAAGTGATTGGAATTTTAACTGGCTAATAATTCCTCTCCAAATTTCTCTATTCGCTGTACATATCGCTGTGTAAATATTTGAAACTATGATCAGTTGTAAAGTATAGGCTTGTAGTTGCACCATGTGAGAGAGAGAGAGGGAGGATTGAGAAGTCCTGAAATGGACTCTCGATAATCTTTATGATCAGTCGTTTAAAAAAAAAGAAGATCTTTATATATATATTTATTCCCAATTTTGGTCATGGGCATGAGTGCATAGTGTGCCAACATTTGACGAACCCAACTGTTTGATGCCCGTGCCTTCCTGCCTCAAAAATTCAAATTCAATGCAAACGCTTGCTCCAAGGGTCCACTAGGATTGCGAAGGTGATCCTCTCTGTTGAGAACCAGAAGGGTGTTAACTATATGATAAAGGATAGGAGCTAGCACCCTTAGTGCTCTCAGATTTCGAATGTAGTCGATCCCTGAAGGAAAGATTTGGTTTCTCTCTTGTCTCATTGTGTTGAGTCACCTCTCATCCTTGGAAACTATGTTATCAGACTCCATCCGAGAGGAAGGGGGCGGAAAAATAATACTCTTAAAGTCTGACGGTTTATAACCTGCTCCAAGATTTATTTCAAATTAAAGTGAAAAATCAATCAATCTAAGAAGTTTAAATTTATGCTTCTCTATCATAAATCATGATACCAATTTTTCTCCCACATCCTCTGTTTGGAGCCAGAAGGGCGTTAACTCTGTGTAAAATGATAGGAGTAAGCGCAATTTCTGCTCTAAACAGATGATAACTTCATTTTCTGAAAACCAAAAGGGCTTAACTCATATTTCATGTAGAGTTAATGCCCTTCTTCTTCTCAGTAGATGATATACGGATACAGGGCCCTGAGCTCTTGGGTATAGGAAGAAAAAGCCATTAGTTAGTTGTGCATCTTGTGTGTATTCGCAAGTATTTGGGTACAGCATTAAGAACAAAATTTCAATTTCTCCTTCTTGCAACCTTTTTTATGCAACAAAAGATGACTAGCATCTTTTCTTCTGTTTTGACAACTCTATGTCATCCATCCCGCCAAACATGTTGCTACTGAGTAACCATGTACCCTTGGGTTTACATGACGAACCTGTCTGACCGTGCAAATCATTATGTACTGTTACTCTATGTGTTCTCAAGTGCCCTGTTCACATTGAACAAGTTAGACTCAGTTTTCAAAATGTTGTGGCAATCGGGTGGAGGTAGTAAATTTCTCGTCATCAAATTGCACATCTTAGAGCCTTCCAAAATAGTGATCATTTTCAGCTTCCAAAATTGGACTCTTTTTTACCCCACTTGTCAGCAAAAAAATAATTGTTTTATTTAGTTGTATCTTGCATTTATATCATCTGATACTAGTAGATGATGATTTTGTTAGTGTGAAAGAGACTCATGTTTTAATTAGAATTCCATTCTTGTGTGTGAATGTGTTGTGTTGATAACACTTTGTGGCTTCATCGACGCCAGTCTTAATTGGAAAGTGTTAATTAGTTATATAATTAGTAAGTAACACATGGTTTAATTAAAGTTGACCAAGTCTGCTCATTGCTAAGAATTCCAAGCTAGGTATATTATCTTGATACCTAAATGGTAGTTGACATTGAAATTACAGCATTTAATTATTTTTCCTAGAGTTAATCATGCTTAAACAATCTCCAGACATTTATTGTACTCAATTTGTTGTTTGAGACCTCATCAAATTAAAATTCCATCTTTTATCCTTGTATGTCTTCTTTTTTTTAACAGCAAAGAGACTTCGAAAGACGGAAAGCATATCTTGCGTAAGTACAACCTGAAAATAAACAAATTATGCTTACTAAAAAAGCACCAGAGAGTATCCATGGCAAAAAGATTGGAAACAAAAATAGCAAAATATGAAAATAAGATATTCAATGTTTGAATGTGGGAAATGAAGTAAAGATACGGCAATGAAATCTGATTGAGGTGGGAGAGCAAATCAAATAATAGTAAAAGATTTTTTGAGAGAAAAATCCAGTATCGGCTGACTATACATCTAAGAAAACAAAATATATGCTTAGTTAGAGAAAGAAACATTATAGAAAATATGGATAGAATAAACCAAAAAAGAAAAACAAGATTTGGACCAAAAGGAGGAAGAAGGAAAAGGAAAAGAATGAGTTCTTTCTAATCGATATCTGCTGTATATAGGAACAGAAAATGATTAGATGCATGCCTTTTCCTTATTTTATTCTCAAATAGATCTCAAATAACAAAATCTTATGTATGTATTTTTGTTTCCATTGTCTATTTTTTGCTCCAGTCGGCTTCAAATGCAGCATGATGTTCTGGAGAGAGAGTTCCGAGATGCAGCACTGGGGATGTACAAGAGATACCATAGAGGGGCTAAGGTAAGATTGATGGTAGGGCTTAATGGAACTTGCGATAATAAAAATGTAAATCATTGCATTTTAACGTGCCCATTGCTGCTATCTCTTTGCTCAAAGGTTGTTACTCCAAGATTTAATGGCTGAGCTCCTAGTGTAATCAGCAGAAAGTGCCTCACAAGGAACCAAATTTGTAATCTGTTTCTATTACCATAAAATCCCTTAAAGCAACCACCTGTCTACAGAGACCAATTTTTTTTCCTTTGAAAATGTTTTCTCATTGAAACATGTACTATAGAAATCTGTATCTAAAGATCACCTGCCTCAAAAGACCACTTTCCTTGTCTCCTTTGAGCGGTCTTTGTATACAGATTTCATTGTACCGGTACTTTGTCTTTTCACAGCCAGAATGGTGTTAACTCTGTGTTGAAGTATTCGACACATGATTTGTACCTTTTGTTGGGAGAGACAACTGCTCATAAACTGCCTGGTGTAAGGGTAGAATAAGCACAAATACAGGATTTGAACCCCCAGTGTCATTATTGTAAGTCAAGGGTATAAAACACTTTACCACAGTGTCCCATACTGATGGGATGTTGACCAAGTTCTTGGTCGGTAAGGCCTAGTGGTAAAATGATGGCACTAGCTTGTGAGGTTACAGAGTCAAACCAGGAAACCTGCAGAGTCAAACCATGGTGTGAAATGACATATCATTCTCATCATCATTCAGTGTCTGTTCTTTCCCATTTTTCTCTCATGGCCCTTCTCCAACCCTTACAGTCTTCATTATAGGTATAGGTATAGGTATTTTATTATCTGCCTGGACAAGGCCGGATGCTGTCATGTCTTCTCCTCGTGCCTCCTTCCAGGTTTTGCAAAGTTTGCTACAGGGGTTTATAGACAACAGCCTGGAAGAACATTGCTCTCTGAAGCAAATGGCTTTTTATTCTCCTCACCATGACCATACTTGGTCTTCCCATTCTTGTCTCCTTACATATTTTTGTCAGCCCCAAGGATTTTTAGACAGACAAGACACTTTTAATTAAAACTAAAGATTCTATCCATCTCCTTGTTGTATTGCTGCTCTCTTCCCAGTCACTACATGATTGATGATACAGTCTTGGTGCACAGGTTGAAGTCTGGAGATAAATATGGTTTGTAGGGTTTGTTGACAGGAGCAGGTGAAGTGCTGCTTGTCCAAGTAACAGATTACTCAATAATTGTGAGGTTTAGAGAACATTGGAAATATCTATTTTTGATTACTTTCTAATGAGCGGAGTGGGGAGTAGCACGTTCCTCAATATGTCATGAAGGACACAAGACAAATATAAATTAATGATAACCGCAGATTGACCTTTTAAGCTTGCTTTTCCTTCTGTGTATGTGTATTTTGTGAGGAATGAAAACAAATTTTGACGTCTCTCTTGAATTGAGCAGCAAGGTAAGAAGGAGCTATGGCATATCAAGCTCCAATTATTTCCTTCCTAAATGGAGCAGACGATATCCTGGACCCCCATGGCGAGAACTGCATGTAGTCCGACGTTGGTTTGGTTATACTGCCCTCTTGGGTGTAGTACATGGAAGGTCGGGTATACATGGTGTGTGTTTATTTAACTTAATTTTATGGAGAGGGGAGGGTTTATATTTGATCGAGATAATTGCAAAGTCATTGAGACCTATCTAGGCGCGTCTTCATCATCTCGAGATTGCCAAATATCTTGAGATTGCCAAATAGCCCGCTATTTGGGAAATAGTCCAGAAGTAACAAATCGCGTCTTCACTATCTCGAGATTCGACCTCAAAACTTGAAACTTGACCTTGAGAAATTAGCTCGAGATATTTTGCTCAGTGTTAGCGTGTATTGCGAATCTTCGGTCTAGTGAAGACGCACGGGATAAATAGCTGGATATCTTGCCAAATAGTAGGATATTTTGCAAACTATCCAAAGATATCTCGGGATGACAATCCTGACCAAATATCCTTCTAATTGCTACTTCGGTCTGATGAAGACGCAAATTAGCTGGATAGTTTGCGATCGAGATAGTTCAAATAGCTGGATATTTGGCAATCTCGAGATACTGAAGACAGGCCTTATGAGAGTAAAGGAGGTATAATTCTGTTGACCAGACAACAAGAAAGGATGTTTAGTATCCACAAAGTTGGAGATGGTGATATTGTTTCTTATGTCTGAAAAATTCTCTTGCAGGGCAAATTGGAAGATTTGGTCATTGATTTACACAATTATCCCAATGAAAAAAACAAACAATTAGTCTGTAAAAGCATATTGACATTTTTCCTAAGCAGAAATCTCATTACTCAAACTGACATTGTGCAAGATTTCAATGGAAAGTTTTAAAAACATTCACTTGATTTAATTGAAAATGTTGTTATCTTTCATTGATGTCTTTCCAACATTGGGGCATTAACTTTTACAATTGATCTAGTTTAAAGAGGTTTAATTTTAGGTTTGAAATTGTATTCATTGCATTTGCAACCATAGGATTTCTGCCTCTCAATCAGAAACTTATTTTTAAGTTACTCTAGTGCCCTCTTGTGTTTGATGAAAGTTAGGTTTTTGGCACAGCAAGAAGGATTTGCCAGCACTTTGGCAATGCCATTGTATGGACTCGGGGGAAGTGCAAAAAGTGTGTTCACTCAATCTCATCTGGAAACTCTTCAGCTATAGCGCCATCTATTGGTGGCTTGAACTTTTTGTGAAAAGGGATCACAGGATACAATGCTCTGAATAGATCTGGAAAGTTATCTTCTGAATTTAGAAAAATGTCAAGAAAACTAACTTGTCTGGAAAAGAATAAGCTACAGTGCCATCTCACGGTTACTGTGGAAAAGATATGAATAGGGTGCATGCCTTACGTTGGAGCCTTATAAACATCTTCTTTGGTTATACTACAGGTTGAACATGAATTAGCAAGAAGGGCTGGTTTTATTTTCATTGCCTGACATAGGACCCCCTCTCTGCTAAACAATGAAATATGATATGATGTCATTTTAAGAATTGTGGGGAAAATAATTTTAAGGATTTTTTTGGTAATTTTCAAATGGATGGATAGTTGGCAAATAATTAAAAGGCATGTACAAAGCTTATGAAGCTTTATGTGAGCATTCAAAATCTACCTTTTGAATTGTCCAGATTCTGGAAATGTTGCTCTGTGATTAGTTGGAGATGCTACCCCTCAAGACTGGAGAGAGAGAGAGAGAGAGAGAGAGAGAGAGAGAGAGAGAGAGAGAGAGAGAGAGAGAGGGGGGGGGGGGGAGAAAGGGTGAGAGAGAAAGAGAGACAGAGACAGACAGATAGAGACATACAGATAGATAGACAGAAACTGTAGGAAATATTATAGGGAGAGAGAGAGAGAGGGGGGGGGGGGGGTGGAGAAACAGAGATAGAAAGAAACGGGAAAATAAAGAGAGAGAGTGTGAGAGAGAGAGAGAGAGAGAGAGAGTAGAGTGTGTGTGTGTGTGTGTGTGCATAAGAGAAAGCTAGGGAGGGGTCAGACAATCAGGATCAACCTGTCTGTGTATGAGCCACCTGTAGATCCATTTACACCTGCCCATCACAAATCGAGGGACCACACCCTTTTTCTATTCACTCTATGTAATTAGTTCTGTCACAGAGAGAGAAACCACCTGCGGCAAAGAACATGATCAATCTCCAAACAAGACAGAAATCAGCCTCCCTAATAGATGATATTACTGAGTCATCTTCTTGCTTTGAGAGTTTGAGGAGAGGGAGGGGCCTCCAAACCTTCTTACCTGCTTGTCTGTCTGGGTTTGTTAATGGAGAAGATAGAAATTGATGTAATTTGCGTGGAAAAGATGTAGAGTAAAGATTAGGAACGGAGAGGACGGGGGAGTAAAAGAGGAGGTAGTAAGAGAAGTTGAGAAGAGGGAGAGATAGGTTAACAAAAGGTAGTCAGCAAATAAGAGTATGAAATTTGAGACACGAAGTAAAGAAAAAACTGAAGTTTAAGGTTGGAATGGAACAAACAATCAAAACAAAACAAAAAACCAAGGAGGGCTTGGAGAAATTAATGATTCGAAAAGGAAAGAGAGAGAAAGTCAGACAGATACACGTTCACAAAAAAGGAAGAAGGTCTTAGACAAAGCTTGAGCAAGAGAAAAGTACTAAAAAACATTGAAAAGAGAATGGCCCCAAGTTCTCGTCACAGGTCACGTCTACAGGTCAGTGCCCCTATAGATTTCTTTTACAGTTTTCTTTGAAGTTAGAAGTAAGCTTTAGGAGGAAAGGGTCACTTTGGTGAGAATCTAACCCCCTCTCCAAGACCCAACAAATCATGATCAGCAATTTTCTTGTTCCTCCAAGGTTCTTCTATCGTCTTTCTTCCAGTTTCTTTTCTCCCACCTAATTGCCCGCATGTGTGAGTGTTTTGGTTGGTGATTCATCAGGTGTATGATGTAGGCAATGATATCTCCTTGGCTGGCCCACAAATTGGATAATGATCCAGACCCATCTTGCCCTTTGTCTGCGGAGACCTGAGTTTTAATGGAGGGAGGAAACCAGATGTGAACGAAGCTCTGGCCTTTCTGAAAGATTGTTGCCTCGATGGATTAGAACAAGGGTTATGAAAGTGATGAGAATGATTGTCCTTTCTCTTGTTTTGATTAGTAAGATATTAAAGGTATTCTTAAGATAATCTTCTCTATGATAATGAGACCCTATATGAAAGTGTCACAACGTCATAATGTGAATTGGATGTTTGGACCCACAAAATGTAGACTAATTAATGAAAGTTGCTGAAAATCACTGAATGAATAATACCTAAACTGATATTCATATCATGGAAATATGTTCAAAGATTAAGCTTACTACCACATCTGTTATTGCTTGATGTTGAGCTACCTTATACTTTATTTCAGATATCTTTGGCTTGTCTATCATTTGCTGAGATCTCAGCAGTGGGTAACTCTTCAATTAAATTCATATAACAACTTTTTGCTCTCAGCGGACGATCATTGTAGTCTCCGATATTCGCTAAAAATGTTGT